TAGTTTGCCCAATAATCATGCTACCCCCTGTAGTACTGGGCTGGCCACCAGTAGCCAGCGTCTGCTGTTGGGATACTGCCTGGACTATAGTTTTAGGAGACTCAGATTTGATGACCTGTGTGGCAGGAGCTGCTGGCACAGTGGAACCAGACTGGCTGTTCACAAGCGACGTCTGGAGGGAAACTCCAGATCCCACAGTGGCTGTGGCAACAGCAGGAAAACTCCCCACACTGATGGTTGAATTGATCACAGTATTGCTCCCGTTCTGAGTGGCTGCACCAGCTGCAGCCACCGTGGGTCCTGCTGTGTGGATCGGGGGCCTCACGAGTGTTACCGTGGGTGCCCCAGTGCCAACACTTGGTGGTGGCTGCGAGGAGATCACTGTGGGCGAGGAGGAGGATGCAGAGGACACAGCAGTATTAAGGAAAGAAGTCTGGATGACAGTGTTAGAAGCTGAGGGCAAAACAGCATTAACAGCGTTTCCTTTCCCCACAGATCCAGGTCCATTGTTAACGAGAGGGGCAACAGCAGGTGCAGGAGCGGGGTTGGCAGTCACAGGAGTCCCAGAGAAAGCAGCACTTCCTGTGTGGTGAGAGTTCATCACCACGTTACTCCCATTCAAAGTCTGCACTGTCGTGGTCCCAATCTTGCCATTCCTGGTGGACAAGGCAGTTGCCATGGTGCTGATAACCACCGATTTGCCCTGACTGAGGGTCCCTGGAGCAGCAGTGACTTCAGATCCTCCTGCTGCTGCAGTGGTGGTGCTGGTGCTCGTTGTGGTGGCTCCATCCAGAGCTGAAGTCTGGGACCTGGTGTTATGATTAATAACACCCCCCTGCACTCCTGCCCCTGCAAAACAACAACGAGGTTAAACAGAGCGAATGAGCAAGAAGAGAAATCCAGCAAAGACAGAATGTTCTCCCTTATCACCAGGTCTTCTCCATCTCCCAAGCTGCCTGCCTGGAGCCAGGAAAACAGGACAGAGTACAAACTGAACATGGCTTTAAAGACGTTATCTTAAAGCCTCCAATATCCCACCAAAGACTGGCAGATTAAGTATTAATTGTAACCCCCCTGCTTTTGACCCTACAACAAGAAAAAACAGGGAAAACAGATTTAATATGAATCAAGAGAAGGGAGTAAGAAGATCATCTAAGACCTCTTCCCCATTCTAGAGTCTGACATCCCATTTAGAAACGGGATTGCAAATGTGAGGGGGGAAAAATGGCCATGGAAGACACATTACTAAGATATATTCCCTATACCCAGCACACATTACTCTCTAATCCTGTCATCTCCTACAAAGCAAAGTCAGTCAGATCAGGAGACTCAACAACAGCAAAATATGAAAAGTGAAAGGAAATAAAAACATTGGCCTGGCAAGATAAGAAATACTGCAAGGCCCGGAGTAGGTTTCTAGAAGACCCCTCTTCCTTATTACAGAATTTGTTCCGACGGATCTGAAGTTCTCACAGCCAGAGATAGTTTAAAATAAATAAATAAAAAGCAAAGCTGGTTTTCAGAAGGGACAAGATGATGTAGCTTCTTGTCCTGAATAATCCTCATGCCCCTTGATAAGGCCTGGTGTTAGCACAAGTACAATCACACACAGTCCAGGTCCTGGCCCTAAGGAGACAGAAATGGGAAAAGAATAGTGACAGGCAGACACTGAGATGCACATTATAAGGGTCAAGGAGATCCTCCTAGAAGAGCTTCATCGATCATAACAGAGGGTCTGTAGTATCTTCTTACACTTCAGCAAGATGAAATCAAAAATAAAAAAGGGGGGAGGGGAGGAATTGCAGAGATATTCTGGGGAAACATTTCTTTCAAATCCCCCTGAAAAACAGCTTCCCTCCATTCCCACGTAGTGAACCCTCAGTCCCAGCCTTTACACTGCCCCCCTACAAGCCTCACAAGACGAAGGGGGAATATTCCCAGGCAGCTCCGGGGGTGGG